TGCTTTGGATGGAGACCGAAGTAATCACAGCCCAGCAGGACATCCACGTGTGTTGACTTTCGCTGGAGTGTTTCAGGATCATATTCTGGAAATAACTTTACCAGGACTTTAGGATCCAGTTTGCTTACTTGTCCAGTAATTCGCTCCATGCCAAAGGCCGTAATAGTGACTTTCTTTCCAGCACTTGTGTTGATTGGAAACTCGTATTGCCACGTGTTGTACGTTTTCTCGACATTTCCCCTAGTTGTCACGTCAAGAGAGAGTTTTTTAACTTTCTTTGCTTTGATTCTTTCCGCAGCACGATGAGTGATATAACTTGCGTTAGAGCCTCCATCACAGAAGACGGACACTTTTCTACCACTGTCGCTAATGGTCGCTTGGTGGATAGGGTATAATGCCATTGAATCACTTTCTACGGTATAGGATGCTAATTCCTTGTTCCCATCATCTCCAGTTTTCGATTTCTCCCCGGAATCTTTTGGGAGCTTTGGTGGGATGCACAGCAGGGAATGATGTTGGTCACTTCCACATGAGGAACATGGGAGTTTTTTGGGGCAGTTAAGCTTCCTATGATTACCAAAACATTTGAAACAAGCGTTTACCTGCTTCAACAACTCATATCTGCCATCTTTACCGCTGATGGACAACTTCTGGAATTCTTTGCACTGTTCGGTGGTGTGATTTATGGTGTCTTTTCTGTGGGTGGGGAAGGCACATTTGTAGTAGGTTCTTTGTCCGTGTTTTGCACCTCTTTCAACATGAAAGGTTTTGCTGTATCCTCTTGCATTGTCATTTCCTCTTTTCTTAGAATGCTGATTCTCTGCTAAACGAGCCACAACTGAACGTTCTCTGTCTAGGAACTTCATTAGCGGAGTAAATGGTTGAAGCTTCTCCGCAGACGATGAATCACGATACTTTCGTCTCCAGTCGACTTTAAGATGGGTAGGTAACAAATCAGTTAGGTTGTCTACATCTCGCATGGTTAAAGTGTTTAGCTGGTTGAGCTCTTCCAATTGACTGTAGGCGGATTCAACTTCATCCACTAATTCAACCAGAGCTTTATAATCTTCTTCTTTTACAGGTTTTAGCCTTTGAAGATCTTCCAAAGCAGCTTGTACACTGGCAGTAGTATCTCCATAGTGACACTCTAGCTTTTCCCACATGATATCGTAAGCTTCGGGCTTGGTGACAAAAACAGATTTGATGCGGTGTTTGGCTTCTCCTTTAACTGAGTTCTTAAGTTCGTGTGCTAATGCAGTTTTATTATAACTTGCAGACTCAGCCATAGACTTCCAGACTGCCTTGAACTCTGGCCAGTCTTTCCTAAGTCCGGAGAATGTGGGTAGGGCCATCCTTTTTAGCCGAATGGTGGAATCTTGGTGGGAAGGTCTTGTATTAATCAACGGGACTGTGGGTTGATGTCCAGATGGGGTTGTATACATAGGACTGGTTGACAAATTGCTCCTGGTCTGATTGTGGCTGCTATGATAGCTGGATGCCACTCTTGGCAGATTTGATCCCATTGGCATTGCAAATGGAGGGAAACCTGTTGATAAATTTGTAGGATTCTGACATTGCTGAGACAAATGCGTTTGTCCCGATGTGGAACTGCTTTCCGAATGAAAGGTGGTAGAAGGAATGAAGGTTTGAGCTGATGTATTCAAGCAAAAACCCGTACTGGTCCCAGGTATGGTTGGTAGGGGGGTGTTGGCCTTTGTAATGTTGGTGGTAACTTGGGTGCCAAAGGGACTGGAGTAATTAATGGGGGGAGCGTTAATTGGCAACATAGGTGGAATTGTGTTGGTCTCGATAGCAGGGGTGTCAATAATTTCAGGGTGGGTTGCAGTGTAAATGGGCTCAGGGGGGATATTGGTGTTGATTACCGAGGGGGAAGTGGTGCTGATGGTCTCAGGGGGGGTGTTGGTTTCTGGGGGGGACATGGTGTTAATGGTATCCGTGTCCTCAGGGGGGGTGTTGGTGTTGATATCCGGGGGGGTGTTGGTGTTGATGGTCTCAGGGGGGTGTTGGTGTTGATTTCCGGGGGGAGACATGGTGTTGATGGTCTCAGTGTTCTCAGGGGTGTGTTGGTGTTGATTTCCGGGGGGAGACATGGTGTTGATGGTCTCAGTGTTTTCAGGGGGGTGTTGGTGTTGATTTCCTGGGGGAGACATGGTGTTGATGGTCTCAGTGTTCTCAGGGGGGTGTTGGTGTTGATTTCCGGGGGGAGACATGGTGTTGATGGTCTCAGTGTCCTCAGGGGGGATGTTGGTGTTGATCTCCGGGGGGAATACGGTGTTGATGTTCTCAGGGGGAATGTTGGTTTCAGAGGGGAGAGTGGCAGTTTCAATGTGTAATGATTTAACAAATGCTTGTTGCTCATGCAAAAACAAGTTTATCTTTCTGATGCAATTGTAAACTGCTCTGATAATAGCATCGACATCTTCTTGGATTAGGTTAACTTGCTCTTGTGTTTCAATCGAGCCAAGTTTTGCCATGTTATCACATATTATGTTCAAAATTGACTGTAGATCATTTTTATCTAGTTGTAAAGCTGCCATATTCACATTTTCCAGTTTGAAACTCTCATCAACGACTGTGATTAGTTCATGAATTCTACAAATGTCATTCTTTAGGGCAACTTTGACAGGCCCAGCACTTTGTCGTCTAGCTTTTTGTTCGATTGTTGTCTTTACACTAACAAATACACTCCTAGCTTCTTCATAGCACCTTTTTACATTGTCTCTGTAAGTCATAATGTCTTCACCATCAACTACACGGTGTTCAGCGTATTTTTCGTCAGATACAATGAGTTCGTATTCCTCATTTATAACGCAAAAATCATCAAATACCTTTTCAAGTTCGAACATTGAATCCTTTAAAATATCATATTCACAATCTCTGTTGTAAGCTCCGATCAGACGCCTCGCAGCGACAGTGACCGCCATTTTAGCCTTGCTTCTTTCTTGTTTTTTATCTTCAACATTCATGGCTGATTCCTGGATTTGTCTTCAAGCAATACACAAGTTTTGGGCTGCAAAACTCCTTTGTATTTAGGCTTCTTCACAATTCTGGAATGCCACAGCGAACGTTAGTGTTTTACTGTACTGGGATTGCCAGTAAATGAGGCGAAGAACAGGTTTCAACTCACTTTAATTATAAAATATACGGAAAATTACAAAATAGTAATTAGTGGTAAAACACTGTTTTCCTTCGCACGCCATATTAGCTCTCATGCGCATGCTCTAACAAAACGTAAAAAACATCGTTCAAAAGGCGATCGCAGAGATTATTGTCTACAACTTTACTACAACCCAATACAAATATTGATACTCATTGATTATCGATTAAGTATGCCAGGGTATAAAAGACTCGATCTATATTTTTGCTATAGCAGGTGGTGTTCAACTTCGGAAATGTTGTATATAATGAAAAGAATTTCTTATTTTCTCACTCTGGTGACTGACAGTTGTCCACCGTACCATCTTCTGCATGATACAGCTTTAACCATAGCCGTACGGGAAGGAAAAAATTAGGAGGGCAGAAAGAAATTTGCCTGACTTTTTCGGATTGTGCCCGACAAGTGCCCCCAATTTTTTTTTCTGGAACAATTTATTTTGGCGACCTCCCCCCCCCCCAACATCAAACATCAAACAAATTTTCCCAAAAATCAAAAAATTGACAGAATTTCCCACAAAATTGACAGAATTTGTCCCATTTATTTTTATAATTACCAAATATTGCCCGACTGTGAAGCGAATATTGCCCAAGTGGCTTTGTTTGCCCAACAAACTGGGGTTATTGTTAAGAGAGATTTTCTTGTTTTGACTACTTTTTGCCTGACTTTTCTTGAACATTTGCCCGACTTTTCGACTTTGTAATCTTTTTGAGGGGGGGGGGAGGGCAGCTGTCCCCGTCCCATACGCCTATGGCTTTAACCCATTGAGATTAGGGGTGCACCGGATTTGGAATTTTCAAATCCGGCCGGAACCGGATTTACTGGATTTAGACAAAAATTCCGGCCGGATTTGAGATAAACCGGTAATGGGGACAATTGGGGATAATTCTGTATTCAAAATGACGGTTTATGTTTTTACTATTTTTAGTTAGTGTCAGTTTAGATTCTTAATTGTGTTTAATTAAACCTTTTTTAAACATCTTTTTTGTTAATAACTTAATATTTTATAATAATAAAAGTGGTTTTTTTTTACTTTAAAGCCATTTTTGGTGAATTTTATAAGGTGAAAACAGAAATTTAAATCCGGCCAGATTTTCTCCAAATCCAGCCGGATTTTCTCCAAATCCGGCCGGAAGCCGGATGCCGGAAAATTCGTTAAATCTGGCTGGATTTGAAATCCGGTGCACCCCTAATTGAAATCCACTGCTTTCCTCTTGACTAGTAAAATTGTCTGCATTTCTAAACAGAATAAAATAATAAATTAGAGTGCAATGCACTTAATGGGTTAATGAGGGCATGCAGATTCCTGGTTACTCTAAATAAGCGTAGCTGCATTTGTAATTTACAGCTACTCCTGGTTAGGTCTGAATAAGTGTATAAAATTTACACCAGGCTGTTCAAAATTGTAGTAACCAAACCTGGGTTACTGCAGCATTAACACAAAATTTGTTTTGTGGTAACCTAATTTGGTTTCTCTGAAGTAATTATGTAAGTCCATAATCTCTTAATTCTATAATTAATAAACGTGTTAACAGTTAATATTTAAATTTTCTTTACATGTTCTGTGATCTAATTGGGTTACTTTACAATTCATTTGGAAATATAAAATTATAATAAATTCTAAGTTTTTCTGACAAGTTTTTGTTTTGGTAAACCCAGGTTACCGCAAAGCTGATTTTGTGGTCGCCCAATTTGGTTTCTGCTGCAAGTAATTTTGGACAGGCGTACACTCAAAATTTCTGTTGAACATTTGAATCTGGCAAATAGGCAAATTTCCGAAAGATGTAAGATTTCTGCCGAGGCAAAAGTCACTAAATTAGGATGACTGATCAATGAATACTTTCTGGTAATAGGCGTCATTTGGTCACATTTTTTCTAGTTTTTTCTGTTCTCGCAAAAATGTTGATTCAAGCTGGAAAACAAAATAAGAAGCCAAAGAAATGGATTACAGCAACATGCCTTTGGAGGAAAAACGCTCGCACTACCGATGTGGCAATCGCTATGTGACTTTAGACCAAGTACCACCATGGCCAGATTATGTGAAGGCCAATCATCGGTTCTTTACCAGGGAAGGTACTGTATTATTAATGTTATTTTGTACCATTAAAACCTTTCTCCACATTAAAAAATTTTCCCCTCCTCTGAATTCCCCGCTCATTATTAAGCCCCCCCCCCTTTCTACTAAGACACCTTGCCCTTCCTATTAAGATCCCTTCTCTCTATTTAGAGACTCTTCTCTTCCTCCTTATTAAGACCCCCTCCCTTTCGACCTCTGCCCTTTCTCTATTGACCTCTGCTTATCTACAAAACAGTATCCTCTATTAAAAGCCGCTCTGCTTTGTATGGCCCCACACCCTAATCTTGTTTATGACTCCATTCCCTACTCACTATTAATGCCCCCTCTCTCTATTAAGATGCCCTCTCCTTTTTCTCCAGTGTGCCTCTCCTCCATTAAACACTAGTGTAATCTCAATTTAGAAAATTTTGTTCATAAACGAGCCAATTTTATTGAATTTAAATATAGGACTAATTTCTTCTATCATTCTAGGACTTTCCTAGGATTCTATAAGAGCATGGAATTTTCTTCCTAGGGATATAAAACGTTTATAGGTAGCAATGAAAATATTAAGAAAACGATTATAGCTCATTTTTTGAGGAAGATGGACAGCTATGAACTACCTTGTAAACATGAATAACTTGTAAATAACTTAATTGTAACTGATGTGGTTGTATTTATATATTTTATCTTGTAGTTTTCCTCACATACTTGTTAGTTGGCAGTCCGCTTCAATTGGGGGCTTACACCCCCTCTTAAATCCCCTCCTCTCTTCCAAGAACTACCTCTCTATCTCCCTCCTCTCCGTTAATATTGCCCCTCCCCCATTCTTGATTAAGACACCCCTCCCCAGTCTATTAGGTAACTCATACAGTACTAACTAGTCATCTTTACCAGGCTGGCTTCAAAAAGATTCAGAATTTATCACTGCCAATGATCATATAAACAAAAAAGTTTCATTCTGGCTAGGAGATATAGCACAGCTTGAAATTGATGCTATTGTGAATGCTGGTAGGTTTCCTAGCTAGATTTCCCAAGGTGGACAAACCAGGAAGCATTGTTGTGTTTCCCAAGCTTTGAGCAACTGAGCGTGAGAACGTCAATTTTGGCAATAGGAAACATAACTCGGAGCTTGACCTCTTGAGATCTGATAAATAAAATAGAAAAGAAAATGTTATAGAAAAGAGACACCTATTATATCTGGTGGGTAAATATTGTAAAAAGATACTGGGAAAAATTGAAATTTTCTACTACAGTATACTAGCGTGCACAAGATCTTTTGACCCAGGTTTGCAGTTAGCTCCAGTCACTCGCAGGTAATGCAGTTACCTCGGATCCCAATATCTGACACCTGTGATAAAAAGTGTTGTGAAGCCACATTTATTATTTTTTTCAGTGAATATCAGTCTTTCTGGAGGTAGTGGAGGTAGGTTGTGTTCGTCAGTGGCGTCTTGTGGACAGGTTTTGATGAAAATCTATCTTGTTCGTTTACACAACGTTTACTTACTGTTTAGTCAATGGTCATATTCATCGAGCTGCAGGCGAGGAACTTTTGGAGGAATGTAGAGAAATGAATGGATGTGGCACTGGCAATGCCAAAATTACCTCAGGTAACCTCCAACCGGAAATTTGAAGCCAAACCTGAAGGCTAGTCCCAGTCTTTTCACGCATGCGACGAGCGTTCAATCAGTCAATCATGATATAAATACGCGTGACGTAACCACGCGTTCCAGTTATATTCATTTCAATGGTACAATATTTTTGAAAATTTAACCTTTGAGCGCCAGCGCTCTCCACTTGATGAGTAAAATTGTCGAGCGTTAGACGGAGTAAAGTCTGTAATAAAATAGGGGGCATAATGCAAGTTTAAATTTCTGTACAAAGTCCTGGTCTAACGAGGATGAGAGTTGCATGAGATGATGGCAGTCACACATTCTTACGGGAGACATTTCAAGCTTTAGATGAACAAAATAAAGGTTTAATGAGTGTTCCAACTACGTTTTAAAGCATTAAGAACAGCCAGCCAAGGTCACGTGACTGCCATCTCTCATGCACTCTAATCCTCGTTTCATCTTGGTTTATAACTGTCTTCCTTTGTGGTATTAATGCGTGTTTTCGTTTTCTTTACGACAGGACAGAAACTTCCAGCTAAACGTAAGTATTACAGGTGTGCAAATCCGATCCGATCGGATTCGTAGGATTTCGGATTGGATCGGATTGATAAAGTTGTTTCGTAGTCGGATCGGACTTCGATATTCGAAATAAAATGAATTAATTATCCACGACAACGCGGTTGTCGCTGCATTATTCGTTTGATACTTCAATTTAACGTCACTTTGTCAGCTTCTTGACATGTTTTTTTTTGCTTTTATATTTATTTGGTTAAATATTTCCACTTGAATGAGAAATTTGTTTATTTTTATTAAAGGATTCATCGGGTCGGATCGGAATTCTTTATCAAAACTCGGATCGGATTCGGATTAGACAATTTCGGATCGGATCCGATTTTAAACATTAGCCAATTGTCGGATTATAAAAACGTCCAATCCGATCCGATGCACACCTCTAGTAAGTATACGCAAATGATTTGGTCAACTGGCCCGTTTCAGTACACTTGATTTGTATACAAGTCTTTTTGTGTCGGACAGTGTCTGTGCCCGGCCGCTTATTTTCAGGCTTGCTTGTATACGCTGTAAAATACTCTGCAAGAAGGTTTTACTGACGGTACATTCATGAAGAACAACAAGCCAACATGAAGACCAGATTTTGGAGCAGTTTTTTTATGTTGTGTAGATGTGATTCACACGGTTGGTCCAATAAAAGAACGACAGCGACTGTTGGAAAGCTGTTATAATTCCTGTCTCAGGCTGGTGAAAGAACACGAATTGAGTTCAGTGGTATGTTAGCGTACAGTTTAGTTATGATAATATTTAATGTGCTATTTACAATATCAGCGGCCATGTTGTATCGGATATATAAACTCGAGCGGAAGACGAGTGTTTGTATATCCCAAACAACACGAACGTAAATGGCTTGTGAAACGTCTTGATGAGAACATTCGTATTCTTCAACAATTTAAAATAAATTATATTTGGTGAGACAATTGAACTTAACGTTTATGTAAATCAGCATGATTTTGTATATTTTGTGTTTTCTTCAATTATTAATGAGTTTCACAAAATATTTATATTTATATTAAGTACAGTATCTATACATAGTGTATGCAATATTCAAATGCGCATTACAATACATGATTATATAGATATAAGCAATTAAACAATAAAAGAGAAATATAATTGCTGCCGTAGCGAGCGAGCGAGCGAGGCAGCAGTCCTAATCTTTATGTATATGTATATATATATATATATAAGGCAGATGAAATCTCGATCGTTTCGGCGTATTTCGGCCTACCACAATGCACTGCTTCCGGGCCGGCAGGTTATTCTTGCCTAATAAACAGGCATAAGGCAAACAAGCAATGTGATCATCTTTCATCTTTGGTTTTCTTTTATGGAAAGCTATAGCTGGCGTAAGTAATTAGTAATCAAACGGCATTTTGTCGATACGCAGTGGTTCGAAGGTTACGGCGCGGCAATTTTCCCTTTCGTAAACGGTCTTTGCCATCCCTGCTCGAGTTGCATCTCGGGAGCTCTCGAGTTCTCGCCACGCGCTACAGCGCGCGCTCCACGAAGGCAAGAAAGTTCGAATATTTTCCGTCGAATTTGAATCAAAGGTCGAAGGTTGTGTTTATTTGTTTCTTTGTTGAAAACGATATGGCTGCATCAAACGGAGAAGCTATGCGATCATTGAAAAGAACAACCGGATGGAATGAATTTTACAGACAAGTTGCCGTAAGTGCTTTTATATTGTGCTTTTATTGATTCATTTGTTAAGAAATGCTAAGCCTATACGTACTAATGACTTAATATATCTATATGGTTCAGCACGTGGTCATTAGATAAAGCATATATGCCATATAAACACAATGAAAA